AAAGAGGCAGAAAAACAGTTTTCATAACCCTAGTGAATGTACTTGAGAACAAGTACTTAGCTACTTGCAAATTTTCTAAACTACTTGATTAAGCACTTGTCAAGCATATTTTAGATTTAATACGTGCCAAGTACTTGGAAGAACTTCGGATACTTGCATATATTTCGCAAGTACTTATCAGGTTACTTGCCAAATACTTGATGAAGTACTTATCTAATACTTATACTTGTTAAGTCACTTGATAAGTGCCAATGTTTCGGTGGAAATAAAGTTATAAGAAACAGCTAATAGGACTGCATACTTTACGTGAATTACGAGTGTTGCATTTATTCAATATTTAAGACAATTACTGCCCGCTGAGAAACGTATATAAAATTAACGTTTCTCAGCTGATCACAAGCTTGAACTAGCCAGAGTATTTACTCTCAAGATTCATGCTAGTGACGAGTTTTGACACGATTTTTAAGAAGTCCTGAAAAAGTGATATTTTAAAAATATTACATTCCACACAAATACATTGCAAAAAACGAATTCTCAAGTAAAAAGTTGAAGAGCAAATATTTTCGAATAAGTAAAAAATCTCTCAGATTTCAGCGATATTTGGATCAAAAGTTATGATAAAATTTGAAAATACATATTTTACACTGACGCCATTAGATTTAAAAAGCAACTTTGCATCTTCTCAATTTTCTACAAAGCTTTTCATCGTCGAACAAAAATATTCTTGATGGATAAACTTATTGATCCTGACAGAGTTTATTTCTGAATCTCCACTTCACAGTTTCATTTCTAGAATCCCCACAGAAAAAGTTCGAATTCTGATAGAAATTTATCTCAATCTTGTTAGGAGTTAGAGATAAAAATGCGAAATAATAACCTCATGACTAACATTTTCTGAACATTTCGTTTGTATCACATGTAATATGATGAAATGTTTTTTATATAAACTTTATTTATCAATCGAACAACATAGGTAGAAACACAACCGTGCGTAATAACGTTCATTATAACATTCACACCTGCGAACATCAGTTATGAAGGAAAAACGAAAAAAAAGAAGAGGTATGATGAAATTATTTTCAGAGACGAGGAGAGTTAAGCTGATTGATAGCAGAACGAGACAAAAACACATCAAAACTCATTCATTTTCGTGTAATTTTTCTATTTTGACCATCAATGGCATGAATGTTATTCAATATCAAGTCCATACTCAAATAGCGGGTGAAAAATTGCGCTGGACTGCATACTTAGCTGATTGTCTCAAACACAAACTAAATAATAATCAAACTTAGCTCACTATTACTCCATACTTTTCCAACTAACTACAACTAAAATTACTGTAAATAAAATCATAAAACTTACAATAAACACCGCTCATTGTTTCTTCTCTTTCAATGACCGAAATCAGATAAGACCACTCGTGTGAAACCAGGTAGCTGATACCTATGTCTGTGTGAATCACTATGTAAATAATAATAAAGAAGGTTTATAATCTTATTACCCGTTACCCTTGTTATTCAATCTGATTACCTAGCACACGTTCATATTTTTCTAAAAGTCTATTACTCTAGTATTTATTTAGCTGCTTATACACTCAGGGTTTTCGTTACAAATTTTTTGAGGAGGGGGAAGTTCAGGTACTTACTCCAAAGTATGAAATATGAAAATTTGACTTACTCCCACTGAACTTACTTCCAGTTTGATTTACGCCCATTGAAGCTTAAATACAGGTATTTTCGATTTTTTTATATCATAGCTATAATAAACACGTTTCATAAACGGCTTTTAAAGCTATTAATTACGACAAAATTCATGTTCATTATCTCATTGTTAACATACCTTTAGCTTACTTTATCAGGACATTACTTAATCCGTGCTACTTTGGACCTTTGATCTACTTCAATATTGCTTACTCCGAGTTCCACCTATTCCAAAATCACTTACTCCGAAATCACTTACTCCGAGACCACTTACTCCGAATTTCAAACGAGGGGAGGGATTTCCCCCTCCTTCCCCCCCCCCTAATCGAAAACTCTGTATACACTAACACCTTTAATAGAATGCAGGAAAAGTTCGCTTAAGGAAAAAGTGTAATCAAGCGTGTCGGAAGCAAATTTCTCTTAACTTTTCAAACTTTTGTATATGTGCGAAATAGCGCTGGACAACACAATATTTCCTGTCTATAAAAAATCTTCAGCTTATATCTTGGTGAACTCTTAAAAATAAAAAGAGTTTAAATCAATAAATCTGCATTGTTAGCTAAAATTTATCCAGCGCTATAATGTGTATAAAACAAACGAATTGAGATATAATGAGAAAAGTAGTAGATCATCGAATGGATAGTATTCTCAAGAAGAGTAACATTTTTTAATTATTTTTAAAACATAATTCTTGTACTCTTGTCAACGTTTGATTTTGATTTATTCAGAAAGACTTTTGTTTTTCGTTTTTTGCAATAAGATCAGTACGTCAAGGATATTCAACCGATAGTGTATGAAAATATAACAACATATAAAACATATAAACGATTTTATAGTTGTCTGTTCTATATCGATATTAGACTGATATGTGTGAAATTTTTTTTATAAAATAGGCCAAAATTGTTCGCTTTTCAAATATAGAAAAATAGATGAATGAAAGACAGATGACACAATTCGTATTGAACAAATTTTAGATATAAATTTTTCTTTAATCATATGAACGACAGTTCATGCAACATTTTGAGAAATGTTATTTTTTTTGTTACATCCACGTTAGTAGACAATATATATGTTTAACAGTCATTTTATTCGTGTAGAAAAAAGCTAAAATTTTCAATCAACTTGTAAAGTATAAATAATATAGCTTGTCTACATGGAAGTATATCTGGAGAGTGTTCGATAACATTTTTTATACTCTAATGAATCGATTACTAGGGTATTTCTGAATTGAAATGAAACACTTGAATGAGGTTCTCCACATTTTGGATCTGGGTTTAAAAATCACCAGACTATAGTAAAAGATTTTTGCATCAACGGCATTATCCGATCTATCAATAGCACGTTTTTCCGATCAAAAATGGTTGAGAAATCTCTCAAAAATATGAAGAAAAAATAATTCGTACCAAAATACTCTAGTCGCCTTTGTAATTACAAAGATTGAGAAAAATAGACGTAAAATGTTACATAACAGTATGTCTCACTATTTCTAGGTTCAAATATGGTGTCTGTCTTTGAACAGTTACCAGATGAAATTCTTCTTACTTGTTATCGTTATCTACGTCCGTATGACGTTTTGTACTCATTTCATAGTCTCAATAGTCGTTTGAATCAAACAATAAGTGTATACCAATGTAATATTGATCTATTAACATGTAACTATTTCGAATTTATTAATTATATTGATGTTTTATTTCCTATTATTGGTATTCATGTTCATTCATTATGTCTTAGTCAACAATATACTCATTGTCAAATAAAATTATTCGATGGAAAAATAATTAAAAAATATAATGATTTACATCAATTATTTCCAAATTTAAAATCTTTAAAATTAGTTCATTGTGATTCCGATGTAACATTATTCATGTTAAAGAAAATAGAATATTTATCAATAATTTATATTGAATATAAAAGTAATCTTATTGATCAACAATATTTGTTTGAAAATTTATTATCAAATAGAAATAAATTATTATCAAAAATTACTATTTTAATACCAAATGGATTCGAGTTAGTCTCAAATTATAATCAATGTTTAAATGTTAAAGATTTAACAATCAAAATAAAAAATTTAAAAGATTTATTCTTAATTTTTGAAATTTTTCGTAATCTTAAAAGTTTACACGTTATCATCGGTAAGATGTAATAATTAGTCTTTGTGGTATTTAATTGTTAGAAGAGAGTCTACAGAATTTCTTGTATTTCAGGAAGCATCTGTTATCCTAATCGCAATCCTACCCTACACTGTAATCTTGAATTAATTTCCAGTTTATAGAGAATCGTAGGGGGGTTTTCTAGCTTATAGAAATTCCTCGACGAAGTTCCAGCTTTCTAGGAAACGTTGATTTTCTAGTTTATAGAAAATCGACTTGAATATCCATAAATTCGATTTTCTATAAAGGTGGAGAATCGCCGAGGATTTTCTGTAAACTGGAAAATCGTCGGAAAATTCCCATATGTACTCTTTGAAAATCCCCGAGCATTTTCCATAAATAATTTCCACCCTTACAATGTATTCGAATCAAGAATGCACAGTGAGCTCAAAATAAGTAATTCGTAGTGGGACCGCTTACGCGATCCTCTTGATGCGACATCACCGCGAACAGGACTCCGATTCTTGCACAAATTTTTCATAGTACATATTTGGATATTTTTGATAGTGTGTCGTGGGAGATGGGGATGTTGGCAGTGTGGGAGTAAGTTCGAAAAGTAGTCTCACACAAAATATATTTTCATGATACGAAACTGTATATCTGTAACTGTATCACACAATGACTATTCACCACATAACTTCACTTCGCGGTAATGTCGTTTGTGAAAATATCGATGTATCCGCAATCTTTCCTAATCTTACTATTTTTTCAACGTAGTAAGAATTAGATGATCGTAAGAGCACTTTCTCCTCTTTTTTGATCTTGTTGGAAAATTTTTGGAATTTTAATCTGAGAATGCCAATTGGAAAAGGAAAAGAAAATCGATGTATTTTTGAACAAAATTTTTTGACATGCGGTTTTATGAGTTATCTTAAAAGTTATCTCTTAAGTTATCTCTTTCGTTTATCTTAAATTTTTACGTATGGTTACTAGATTTTTTCGCATATTTTGAGAAGGAAAGTATATTTTTGGAGAAAAAACTTAAAATCGGCGATAGAATCTGAAGCCTCTAAGCAATAAAAGTTTCACCGTGATCGTACCAGTTTTTCGAGATGTCTGGATGATAATCGGGATCTCTAGATATCTCACAAACCACATGTAAGGAAATCTTGTTCAAAAATACATCGATTTTCTTTTCCAATTGGCTTTCTCAGATTAAAATTCTAGCACGATGAAACATTGGCTTCCACATTTTGTAACAAGATCAGCAAGAAGATACGCTTGATAAGTGGGATATTTTTTAGGTGGAAAATTAAGATCATTTGGCAGCGATAAGATGATATGTGATCGTCAAGTTTTTTTTCACAAGATCGCGAACTTTTCGATATAATCGTAGAAAGAGTAAAATGCGAATATGCGCTTAAAAATAGTGTGCCAGAAAATGTGCAAATTCATCCACAGTGTACCACTGACATACCTTTTTCTTTTTCAGTATGACTAGGATAATTTTTCCAAACTTTTGTTTCTTTCTATTCCTAGGTGATCAGTCAGCACCATTGCAATCGAAAGAGTTATCTTCATTGAATAAATTATCACATTTAACTGATTTTCAGCTACAAATGAGTGATCCTCTATTTACATTTACAGAATTTCGTACATTATTTGAATGCATATCGGCTAAACTCGAAAAATTATCATTGTATTTAAATACAGAAAATGCTGCGTATATTGATGGAAATCAATGGAAAGACCTTTTCTCATCTGTCATAACGATATTAACAACATTTAAATTTTATATTCGTTCAATATTAGGTTTTTACTCGGTTAATGTGGATAAAGTAATGAAATCATTTGAATGGATTCATCCGAAAGATAAACATTGTTATATTGCTCGAGATCATTTAGGCGTAAATTATTTGTATTTTTACACCATACCGTTTGGTTTCAAAACGTTCGAATTGATCGATAGTCAATCGACACTAACAAATTTTGAGAATGGCTATTCAAATGTTGAACAATTGATACTTAATAGTCAAGTGAATGATGAATTTTCATATCTGAAACAGTTTAGAAATATTGAGAAACTAACGTATATAGGAGAAGAACATGCGACATCTACATGCCCAAAGGTAAGCTCAAAGTGTACGCTTCAGAATCGATAAATGCTGAATAGGATTAGTATTCATGATAATCACTCTGAGACAGAAAATAATAGTGCTGATGTCACATTTTAAGAGTAATGTTTACTTTTTCATAATATAGAGGACTTTGACAGTATTTTTTACGTTATTCCTGGATGTTTTCCAACTATACTTCATCCCCACGTTATTTTCTAGGATATGAACTTCGATTCTTGGATTGTTCCTATCAAATTGATCAAGTTATCTCATTTATCCATTGACTCAATTGGATTGTCTACCTTTTGTCGATTAATTAAGATTGCTCCCTATTTGTTATCACTCAATATCCATAATTACGAACAATTTCAACGTAAAATTTTACTATACAAACCAGAAATGACATTGCGACGAATCGAACATTTAACTGTTCAGTTTGAGTCGTGTAAAAGTGAACAAAATGATATTATCCGATTGGCATCTATCTTTCCGAACGTGAAGTATCTCCAATTAAAAATGATTAAATGTCCACGAACGTTTAGTATAGAAATTGTTCGTCAGTCGTTATTTTCATTCAAAAATTTACGATTTATTCAATTACAAATAGACGGAAATAGTCTAAAAATGATAGTTCGTGATCCATCGAAATGGTTGAGCGAAAATACAATATTGAAATATTTAAATAAACAATTTTATGCTAGTTGTAATCAATGGAATTTACAAATCTGGATTTAGTTAACGTATTGTAATGATTCATCTTTGTAACGATTAATAAACGTACGCTACAGATGCCAACTTTCATTCTGAAGTTTTACCGTTGAGGATTCTCATATAAAAGGAAGACGTTTCGCTCAAGTAAAGGAAGAAGAGTTTAAGTACTAAAATATAAGTAACAGAGCTTTTACTATTAAGAAGTTGACGACGTTCGCCGACTGTGCATATCATCTAGCTTCTATCTGTCTGATATTCTTCACTCACTACGTTGTGACATATACCGGTATTTCGGTAGTATGTGGTTAGTGAGTGTGTATGGGGAGCTCAAACAATTGGGCGAAAAGAACTCTGTGAAAGGCTGCGACGTTCATCTGTTCTTGTACTAGTAACCAAGCAAGCTGTAGCTCTGGACAGAAGGCC